ATAAGATTTTTTGGCAGAAAACATCCACATAATGTTCAGTCAGTAAGTGAAAATTAGAAAACTATATAATACTTTTCTATAGACCTTCGGGAAGCAGAATTATGGGGCTTAAGGGCTATAGGGCAAAACTATAGGATACAAACTAAAAAATAATACACAGATGCGCACCCTCAAAATTCCCTTAGTATGGGTGAAAAGTTTCAGATCTTTAGGTTATTTCCTCCTAGAGCTATGGCGGTGACACACACACACACAAACAGGCTCTTTTATTATGCCAATAAGTTATGTTCAATTGAGGGGAATTATTTGTAGTTTGCTTCTACAATAATGTTCAAACCAGAGTGGTGATTTTGCTAAATTAATAAATTTCTATGGTGTGTTGCCATAATAAACCAAAATATATATGTCTTTTATTACGCCAATAAGTTATGTTCAGTTGAGGGGAATTATTTGTAGGTTGCTTCTACAATAATGTTCAAACAAGAGTGGTGATTTTGCTAAATTAATAAATTTCTGTGGTGTGTTTACATAATAAATCAAAATATATATATATGTCAAAACTAGAGGAAAAAAGACTGGCCAAATTCTTTTTTAGTCAAATCTAAAATATAATACCCAGGTGCACATCCTCAGAATATTGTGACACAAGTGTACGGATTAAAACTGGTATTATACTACTTTTCTGGGAGCGTGACATTAGAGAACAGAATTTCTTTGGTTGTTTCCTTCTTGTGTACCTTTATCACGTTCGAAGGATATTTTTGAAATAAGTAAAAGAGCTCTTTCAGTAGAAAATGTTAAAATTTCTTTGGTTCTGCGTTAACCTTCCTTCAATTATAAATGAGTAATATTATGCATAGATTCATTGTGTACCGGTATATGTTGTAATGAAATTTTAATACCATGAACCATGAAAGTTTTAAGAACATCTAAATTATTAGTACATCCTTTACCTACTATGATAAATTACTTATTTTTACGCTGTAAAATGTGGTATGTATATTTATATAATCACAACAAGTTTGTGAATTTAGAGAAAGTGGGTAAATGGTTTGAGCATAAACTACTGACGCTCCGCTGCACGATTCTAAGGTCCGCTCATGATTCACTGAGGCCTCAATGTACCAGTCAAACGTGTCCATTATCTTAATTACTTCTATAGTCACCCCACTGCTTCTAAGGTCCGCTCATGATTCACTGAGGCCTCAATGTACCAGTCAAACGTGTCCATTATCTTAATTACTTCTATAGTCACCCCACTGCAAAATTACATATTGAGATTAAAATTTTCAATTCTATTATCTTTTCATGCGCCAAAATTCTTTAACTATTCTGTTTAATGTAATTTCCCGAAAATTATTTATTTATTTCTATTCTAATATTCTGTTTCATGGATCCTGGGCGGTTATGATGCTTTGTTCTTGAACTTAAATATTGCGAGTCACGGAGAAAAGATTAGTTATAACTACTCTGTCTGGCATGAGACCTGGTAGATAAGTTTGTTGTTGTTGTTGTTTTAATTTCGCGCAAATCTACACAGGGCTTTCTTCGCTTTTCATCCCTAATTTAGCAGTTAAACTATGATAAAGAAAATGTCATGAATGTACATCTTGTGTTTTATATCGTTATGTAAAGTGAAAGAATAGATAAATTCCTTTTTCAAGACTATTGTATTCAGTGACATACATTCCCCATTAATTAAGTTAGACTTAAAGTATATTGAATGTATATTTTATATTGGTTGTAAAGTATATTCTGTAATAATAAACGTCATTCATAAAATGTGAAAGAAAAACGTGTCATTTCTTGTAGACC